ATATTTATAGCTTTTGGCAGTAGAAGGTTAATTGAACTATAATGGGTTCATATATGAAATTCGGCAGCAGAGGCATAAAGCTGAGAATTGTAGAGGGAAAACAACACCCTTCCAAATGCCTTTCCAGCTGTTAGTGAATGACTTCTCAGCGCATGTATAGAATCCCGGCTGACGCTCCCATTTTAATAAACTTTACATTGTAGTCACACTGTTGTAGAATGTATTTCATTCTCATTAAGTGAGAACTTTCCTGGAGTCCTATATGTGAATGAAACAGACAGTGCAAAAGCTGTGAACTTCTAATATTTTACAGCCTATTTATGTTATTATATTTCTATAATATTTAAAGGGATAGTTCACCCAAAAATAAAAAAAACCTATCATCATTTACTCACCCCCAAGTTGTTCCAAACCTGCATGAGATTCTTTCTATTGTTGAGCAAAAAAGATATTTTGAAGAATGTCGATAACCAAACAGTTACCAGCGTTTGACTTCCATAGTATGGAAAAAATACAATGGAAGTCAATGGCTACCGTCAGCTGAAACTCATACAGGTTTAAAACAAGTGGAGGGTGAGTACATGAACAGAATTTTCTTTTTAGGGTAAACTATCACTTTAAGAGAACACTTTATAGTAAACATCATATCAGTGTTTAAGAGAACACTTTATCGTACAACTGAATTTAATAAATTTAAGTAAGTTTTGTTCAATGGATAAATAAAATGTAACAGACTCTGGAAAGATTCAATCCAAGTATACATTTATAACAAGAATCGGTAACACTATTTTAAGGTGTCCTTGTTGCACGTTACATGTCCTTACCATTATTATAACAATTAATTATGCACAATTACATGCAAGTAACCCTAAAACAAACCCTAATTCTAAACCTAACCATACAGTATACATGTAGTTAATTAATATTGCTCAAGGACACCTTAAAATAAAGTGTAACCAGAGAATAATTTCATTTATGTAATTTTAGCCTATGCTTTTTAAGTTTCGGGAAAGCATGAAATAAAGAATGAGAAAAACATAGCAATGTAATTGGTAATTTTATTTACAATAACATTACAGGATCCACACTAGAAGAAACTGAGAGCTGTGTTGCACAAGAATCGCACTGACCTAAAAAAAACAAAAAAAAAAACACAAAGGAGCAATTTAAGAGGAGAATAAAAAATGGCATCCTAAATTATTAAGTGGTTATTGTTTGGAATGGTTCACATTTTGTGTTCAAATTTTAAGGTCATTTAGAGACAAGCCGTGAAGCGCATGTGCTCAGAATGTGTAATATGCAAAGTTACTTACAATGTGTGACTGGTAGGAGCTTCATTTCTTCAGGATCTGATGCCTGACAACAATGAATGGGAAGGCGAATCCACTGCCAAAGAACAGCACCATCATGCCAAGAAGCCTCCACTTGTTCTCTACTGAGAATGGCAAGTTCTGCAAAAATGAAAAAATAAAAATTAATTTCAGAATTATGCTTTGACTTTCTTGATTCTGTAATTAAAGGCATGCTTTCGTCAAATGAATTAAATTGAACAAGGTCCTAGCCAAAATTATCAAGCGACTATAAACAGGGATCTGACCGTTTCTGACCAATGAATTTCCATAATATAAATTTCCAGTCATTTGTCATCACTGCATCTAATTTTACACTACATTCATAAATAAATAACATTTGACTGAATTACAAAGTTACTACTGAAATTAGAAATTTTGTACTGGCTGAAAAGACTATTTATACTAGAGTTCCCACACCTTTAGTTCAATAAATATCCATAACTTTTCTAGGATCTTTGCAGTTGCCACTAGTTTGTTAGATAGATAGATAGATAGATAGATAGATAAACAAAGACCAGTTTAAAGCTAACTGAAATATTTAGGAGCCAAATAGAACTACAAAAATATCTATTTAATTGACCATTATTTAAGACAACTCATTTCCATGACTGTGGGATCCGTGTAAAATATCAAGCAGCAGGTGCACTATTGCCAATGCAAGGGCATTAAACACTATTGCACCATAATTTAATTAAAATCAACCTAATTGAATCAATAATTAAAGCACATTAATGCATTCAAATTAGGGGTGTAACGGTACACGTATTCGTACCGAACCGTTTCGGTACGGGTCTTTCGGTTCGGTACGCATGTGTACCGCACGAATACAGTTTTTTTTCTTCTTCTTCTTCTCAGGAAATTCAAATAATAAATGGCGTTTTGACCGTCTTTTCTGTGGCATGACAGATT